CCCCCCCCCCCCCATTAGCTGAGGTTGGCAAAATTTTGGAGCCCATAAAACTTTCCCAACGTAAAGTAGCATCGGTGAGTGGGGGTCTTTATGGGAAATATATCCCCCCCCCAATTGGTACAACAACTTTGACTTGCCGGTGAGTCTCCTCCCTCAGAATCCTCTGTCTTTGTGGGCCAGTGTCTGAGGGACAAGAACGGAGAGGAGCAGCTGGAGACAACCTGGCTGCTGCGTGCAGAGGTGGAATCCGCAGCAGAGGATTGGGGGGCGACCAGGTAAGGAAAAACAGGGGCTGAACTGCTGTGCCCCCTAACTGGAAGGGCCCTGGGCACCTCTTCTTTTTCTCTCTTCCCCCCCCCCCTCAGTGGCTCTTGAAAGGACGCCCCAAACGGGTTTGCCTCTCTGGGGGATGTTTCCGCACCCAGGGCTGAGGAGCTCCTGTGGGAGAGGCTGGAGACTCCGTTTCTTCCACTCCCCCCACAAAGAAACACAGCAAAGCTTTTGAGGAGTTTCCCCAGGTCGTTCTCACTGACAAATGTGGCTTGGGTGGCAGCACAGCGGGCAACACTCAGATTTGGCATTAATTGCTCTACTCAAATCGGAGAGAAGGAGCCCAGCACAGCCCCCATATTGGTATGGGGCAAAGAGGCCACCTGGGTGCCTTCCCTGAGCACAAGGCCTGCAGCTCTTCTGCTCCCCTTCTCCCCTCGGCTACCTGGATGGAGCTGCTTCAAGGGAGGCCCCCAAAGACCCTGGAGACTTAGCCCAGCCTGCTCTGGGTCAGTGTCCTTCCCCTCATCAGATGTGGCCTGCATTGCGTGGCTGGGGAACCTCTCCGGCCCTCGCCATCCCCCAGAACCAGAGCAAACATTTCCTTTGTCCCCCCTTTTCTTTCTCACGTGGAATGATGCGGGTGATGATGTTCAGCCTGGAGAAGGGACATCAATCATGCCACCGCGAATTTTGACATTTCCGTCCCTCCTGCTTCATTGTAGGGTTCACTCCAGCACCTTCTACAGCAGCGAGTGAGAGGGTGAAGAGAGCAAGGCTTCCCTGGTTTCTGCGTTGGGGGGGAAATGGAGGGGTGACCCTTCCAACCTCACCCATCAGACGCTCTTCTCCAATAAAATGTTTGCCTGAGCAGCCTCGGCCTCCCTGGTGTTTCAGAAGCTCCCTGGGTGCCAGTCTGCAGGTTTCCAGGAGAGGCCCGGTAGGACCCCCATCTGGAGGGGGGGCTCAAAGCTAGCTCTGGGGTAGAGTCTCTTTACACAGCCTTTGCCCTTGAGGACTTTGGGAACTTGCAGCCAATCCACTGAGGATTTGACCTATTAATTTATTATGAAATTATTAAAGGATTTGGCAAATGAGCCATGAATTAGCTTCATCCAGACCTGATCCATCCTAATCACTTGGCCTAAGCTTTGCTGGATAGAGTCATTGTTAGAACCAGCAGTTAGCTGGAACCTATTTCGACACTTACCTGAAGAAGCCAAAGAGGTTGGCCACAAACGGTTCAGTTATAATAATTGGATTTGCAATCAAGAATTTTGCAAGTGGGGCCATTAGAGGAACAAGAAAAAGTAATGTGGTATTTTGCTTAAGCCTTAAAGGTCCAGAGGCAAAAAGCTCCACCTTAGCATGTCAAAAAACAACCCCAGAAGTGGAGAACTTATTTTATTTGATAGGTTTTAAGCCACCCATCTCACTAATTCAGCAACTCTGGGTGGCTTACATTGTAATAAAAGATTAAAAGTGCTAAAAAGAAATGAAATTAGAATAAAGAGATTGAAAGTGAAGAACCCAGGTGATGGACATTCTGGGGGTAAGAATCTTCTCTACCCCATGAGACACCCCCAGGGTACCCTACCCTGTCAGGGCCCCAGGCTGAGTAGCAAAGCCAGGTTTTCAGGCTCTTCCAGAAGGCCAGGATTGTTTTCTTGTGTTTCTGAGGGGGGGGGGAAATCTCACCTGTGATGGCAGAATATTCTGGGGGGGGGGCACAGCAGAAAAGGCTCTTCTCCTGGAGCCCAGCAGCAGAAATTCTTTGGCCAACGGGATCCAAATTAGGCTGCTTCCACTGGAAGGAGAGGGGCCAGCTAGTCCCATTGGGGTGAGGCAGTTCCTCAGATACTCCAAAGCTTCACTAAGTGCACCCCCCAATGCTTATTATGGGATGTTACCCAACTGCATTTGTCTTCAGCAGATCAGGAACAATTGATGAAATATAATGAAATGCTGATGTTTAGGACTTACATTACTTTTATTACAAAGTTACAGTAACAGAACCTTGCAAGGCTGAATCCACCTCCCTCTCTTCATCTTCCTGAAAGGGAAGAAAGTCATTAGGTCTGAGACCCTTCCTCAAATTTCATTTCTCCCTTGGACACATTTTATTTTTCATCTGGTCCTCATCTAAGTTGAGGCTCTTCCTCCTGTTTCCTCTTGTAGCCCATTCTGTCACCAGGGAGGTGCACCAGCAAATGGGTAAACTGAGGCACAACTGGAAGAGATGCTCACAAGAGAAGATAAAAGGAAAAGAAAAGTGGGGGGCGTTAGGCTGGATCAGTGGTCCAAGGAAGGGAAAGGAAGGAGCGGATCTGTTCCCTGGTTGGAGATGAACAAGGAAGAGGCAAAGAGCAGAACTGCTGCTTCACTGGGTCTTCTCCCCCAAGAGTCCAGCTGGGCAGAATCACCAGTATTAAAGGCTGCAGATCTGATTGAAGGAATTGCAGGGCTCCATTTTAGGCCTTGCGGCTGTTTGACATATTTATAATTAAACTAGTTGTACCCGGCTGTGGCTGTCTGGTAAAAGCGTGTGTTGCTTTTACATCCAACAGATGGCGCTGTTTTTCAAAAAAAGCATGTTTTTACCTGTCACGGGTGTGACATCTATATAATATAGGTATATAGAAACACGCACGTATTCAAATGCAACGTTGTGTCAAAATTTCAAAGCAATTGGTGAAGAACTTTCGGAGATTTAAGATTTTGAACAAACGAACATTTACATTTTTATTTATATAGATTGGGGGGCGGGGCATATATCCGGGCATCCTGGTTCTCTCTTGCTGACAACTTCATTTGGTGGAGGAAACCAGGTCCTTTTGGGAACAGATCCACTCCTTCGTTTCCCTTCCTTGGACCACTGACCCAGGCTACCCCCCCCCCCCCGCTTTTCCTTTGCTTTTATCTTCTCTTGTGAGCATCTCTTCCAGTTGTGCCTCAGATTACCCATTTGCTGGTACACCTCCATGGTGCACCAAATGGGCTACAAGAGGAAACAGGAGGAAGAGCCTCAACCTAGTTAACGATCAGATGAAAAATAAAATGTGTCCAAAGCAGAAATGAAATTTAAGGAAGGAGGTGGATTCAGCCTTGCAAGGTTCTGTTACTGTAACTTTGTAATAAAAGTAATGTAAGTCCTAAATACATCAGAATGTCATTATATTTCATCGCTTGTTCCTGATCTGCTGAAGACAAATGCAGCTGGGTAACATCCCATAATAAGCATTGGGGGTGCACTTTTGAAGCTTTGCAGTATCTGAGGAACTGCCTCTCCCCAATGGGACTATTTGGCACCTCTCCTTCCAGTGGAAGCAGCCTAATTTGGATCCCACTGGACAAAGAATTTTTGCTGCTGGGCTCCAGGAGAAGAGCCCATTGTAGAATATTCTACAACCAGAGGTGAGATTCCACCCCCCCCACACACACATTTACACAAACCTGGTCTTCTGGAAGAGCCTGAAAACCTGGCTCAGCCGCTCAGCCTGAGGTCCTGACGGGGTAGGGCACCTTGGGGGTGTCTCATGGGGTAGAGAAGATTCTTGCCCCCAGGCTGTCCATCACCTGGGTTCTTAACTTTTAATCTCTCAATTCTAGTTTGAATTGTTTTTAGCACTTTTTAACTTTTATTAAAATGTAAGCCACCCAGAGTTGCTTTATAAGTGAGATGGGTGGCATAAAAGGTTATTAAAATAAAATAAGCTGTCCACTTCTGGGGTTGTTTTTTGACATGCTAAGGTGGAGTTTTTTCCCCCTCTGGATCTTTAACCAAAATACCACATTACTTTTTCTTGTTCCTCTAATGGCCTCACTTGCAAAATTCTTGATTGAAATCCAATTGTTATAACTGAACAGTTTGTGGCTAACCTCTTTGGCTTCTTCTGGTAAGTGTCGAAATAGGTTCCAGCTAACTGCTGGTTCTAACAATGACTCTATCCAGCAAAGCTTAGGCCAAGTGATTAGGATGGATCAGGTCTGGATGAAGCTAATTCATGGCTCATTTGCCAAATCCTTTNAGAGAGGTTCCAGATGATGATGAGGCCAAAGACCGGCTAGGGACCCTGGTGCTGGATGACCTGCAGCAGGGATGGCCGGATGGGATTGTCGGAGGCCGAGACTGCCGTTTTGTAGACGCCGCTGGACACCCCCGTGTTCCTGACGCTGTTGATCTTCGTGGTGGAGTTGAGGTCATTCTTCCAGGTGCGAATCAGGGAGCACTAAAGGAGAGCGGGAGAGGGGAGGAAACCGAGTCATGGCGCTAGCCAAGCCCAGCTGTCCAACAGGTAGAGACTCTGCCTCCATTTTGTCCGGAGGATCTGAAAACACCCGCTGCTCCCACGTGCCCGACCCCCAAGGCTGCCCACGCCGCGTGGAGCTGGCAAAGGCGGCCAATCCCAAAATCCGTCGGTCGAGGCGCCTGCCAGACCGCGTCCGGGACGGCACCCCGTGGGCAGATCGCTCTGTCCTCTGCGCAGCGAGCGAGAGCACCAGCCCCGGCGGCAGGCTGCCGGAGTCGCGGCCGAGCACGGAGGAGGAAACACTGGACGTCCGTCCGTTGGGGACCCAGGGCCTCTTGCTCTCAGCGCGACGGCACCCGGTGCGATCAACCCCGAGGAAGCGGCACCCTCTGCGCAGCCCGCCGGCTCCCACCAGCTGCTCCTGCCGCCCACCCGAGCAGAGGCTGGTGGCGGGGGATTTTCCCGGTGGAGGCTGGGACCCTCCGTCCACCACCCCGCATCTGACCTTGGCGGTTCGCTCCGAGTTTTGGGGTTCGGCAAACTTTCCGGGGCAGCCGAATAGGAAAGCGAAGAGCCCCAGAGCTGCAAGGCCAATCGCCATGGTGGTCTCCAGCATTCTAGATGTGCCAATCCCAGGCGGGACGCCTCTTATAAAGCCCCGCTCGCACCGGCTCCCCCCACCGCCCTCGACGGGGAGGGGCGGGATTCCCGCCCGACGGAGGGACGCCCAGCGTTTCCTCCTCCGTGCTCGGCCGCTTTTTTGGCAACCTGCCGCCGGGGCGGCTGCTCTCTCTCGCTGCGCAGATGGCAGAGCGATCCGCCCGCGGGGTGTCGTCCCGGATGCGGTCTGGCAGGCGCCTCGACCGACGGACTGTGCGATGCGCCGCCTTTGCCAGCCCCACCTGGCGTGGGCAGCCTGGGAGTCGGGCACGTGGAAGTAACGGGTGTTTTCAGATCTCACGGAGAAAATGCATCCAAAGTCTCTACCTGTTGGACAGCTGGGCTTGGCTAGCGCCGTGAGCCGTTTTCCTCCCCCCTCCCGCTCTCCTTTAGAGCTCCCTGACCGGCAGATGGGTGAATGACCTCAACTCCACCACGGAGACCAACAGCGTCACTAACACGGGGGTGTCCAGCGGCGTCTACACAACGGCAGTCTCGGCCTCCGACAATCCCATCCGGCCATCCCCGCTGCAGGTCATCCAGCACCAGTGTCCCCAGCCCACCTTTGACTTCACCGTCAACTGGAACTTCAACTATACAGCCACTCACTATTTGGAAGCAAATAGAACGGGAGGAGGGAATCTAGGGGATCGCCCCTTCCTTAGATCTACCTCTTGCAGATTCTTTCACTGAATGTCCCCCCCCCCACCATTAGCTGAGGTTGACAAAATTTTGGAGCCCATAAAACTTTCCCAACGTAAAGTAGCATCGGTGAGTGGGGATCTTTATGGGAAATATATCCCCCCCCAATTGGTACAACAACTTTGACCTGCCGGTGAGTCTCCTCCCTCAGAATCCTCTGCCTTTGCGGGCCATTATCTGAGGGCCAAGAACGGAGAAGAGCAGCTGAAGACAACCTGGCTGCTGCGTGCAGAGGTGGAATCCGCAGCAGACGATTGGGGGGCGACCAGGTAAGGAAAGGCAGGGGCTGAACTGCTGTGCCCCCTAACTGAAAGGGCCCTGGGAACCTCTCTTTTTCTCTCTCTTCCCTCCCCCCTCCCAAAGTGGCTCTTGAAAGGATGCCCCAAACGGGTTTGCCTCTCTCGGGATGTTTCTGCACCCAGGGCTGAGCAGCTGCTGCGGGAGAGGCTGGAGACTCCCTTTCTGCCACTAACTCCACAAAGAAACACAGCAAAGCTTTTGAGGAGCTTCCCCAGGTCCTTCTCACTGACAAGTGTGGTTTGGGTGGCAACACAGCTGGCAACACTCAGAGTTGGCACTAATTGCTCTACTCAAATCGGAGAGCAGTAGCCCAGCCCCCATATTTGTATGGGGCAAAGAGGCCACCTGGGTGCCTTCCCTGAGTGAGAGCAAGGCCTGCAGTTCTGCTGTTCCCCACCAAAGAGGCCACCTTCTCGGCTACCTGGATAGAGCTGCTTCAAGGGAGGCCCCCAAAGACCCAGGAGACTTAGCCCAGCCTGCTCTGGGTCAGTGTCCTTCCCCTCATCAGATGTGGCCTGCATTGCGTGGCTGGGGAACCTCTCCGGCCCTCGCCATCCCCCAGAACCAGAGCAAACATTTCCTTTGTCCCCCCTTTTCTTTCTCACGTGGAATGATGCGGGTGATGATGTTCAGCCTGGAGAAGGGACATCAATCATGCCACCGCGAATTTTGACATTTCCGTCCCTCCTGCTTCATTGTAGGGTTGGCTCCAGCACCTTCTACCGCACCAAGTGAGAGGGTGAAGAGAGCAAGGCTTCCCTGGTTTCTGCCTTGGGGGGGAAATGGGGGGGTGACCCTTCCAACCTCACCCATCAGACGCTCTTCTCCAGTAAAATGTTTGCCTGAGCAGCCTCGGCCTCCTTGGTCTTTCAGAAGCTCCCTGGGTGCCAGTCTGCAGGTTTCCAGGAGAGGCCCGGTAGGACCCCCATCTGGAGGGGGGGCTCAAAGCTAGCTCTGGAGTAGAGTCTCTTTACACAGCCTTTGCCCTTGAAGACTTTGGGAACCTGCAGCCAATCCACTGAGGATCTGACCTATTAATTTATTAGGAAATTATTAAAGGATTTGGCAAATGAGCCATGAATTAGCTTCATCCAGACCTGGTCCATCCTAATCACTTGGCCTAAGCTTTGCTGGATAGAGTCATTGTTAGAACCAGCAGTTAGCTAGAACCTATTTTGACACTTACCTGAAGAAGCCAAAGAGGTTGGCCACAAACGGTTCAGTTATAATAATTGGCTTTGCAATCAAGAATTTTGCAAGTGGGGCCATTAGAGGAACAAGAAAAAGGAATGTGGTATTTTGCTTAAGCCTTAAAGGTCCAGAGGCAAAAAGGTCCACCTTAGCATGTCAAAAAACAACCCCAGAAGTGGAGAGCTTATTTTATTTGATAGGTTTTAAGCCACCCATCTCACTAATTCAGCAACTCTGGGTGGCTTACATTGTAATAAAAGTTTAAAAGTGCTAAAAAGAAATGAAATTAGAATAAAGAGATTGAAAGTGAAGAACCAAGGTGATGGACATTCTGGGGGCAAGAATCTTCTCTACCCCATGAGACACCCCCAGGGTACCCTACCCTGTCAGGACCCCAGGCTGACTGGCAAAGCCAGGTTTTCAGGCTCTTCCAGAAGGCCAGGATTGTTTTCTTGTGTTTCTGAGGGGGGGGGAATCTCACCTGTGATGGCAGAATATTCTGGGGGGAGCACAGCAGAAAAGGCTCTTCTCCTGGAGCCCAGCAGCAGAAATTCTTTGGCCAATGGGATCCAAATTAGGCTGCTTCCACTGGAATGAGAGGGGCCAGCTAGTCCGATTGGGGTGAGGCAGTTCCTCAGATACTCCAAAGCTTCACTAAGTGCACCTCCAATGCTTATTATGGGATGTTACCCAACTGCATTTGTCTTCAGCAGATCAGGAACAATTGATGAAATATAATGAAATGCTGATGTATTTAGGACTTACATTACTTTTATTACAAAGTTACAGTAACAGAACCTTGCCAGGCTGAATCCACCTCCCTCTCTTCATCTTCCTGAAAGGGAAGAAAGTCCTTAGGTCTGAGACCCTTCCTCAAATTTCATTTCTGCTTCGGACACATTTTATTTTTCATCTGGTCCTCATCTAAGTTGAGGCTCTTCCTCCTGTTTCCTCTTGTAGCCCATTCTGTCACCAGGGAGGTGCACCAGCAAATGGGTAATCTGAGGCACAACTGGAAGAGATGCTCACAAGAGAAGATAAAAGGAAAAGAAAAGGGGGGGGGGCATTAGGCTGGATCAGTGGTCCAAGGAAGGGAAAGGAAGGAGCGGATCTGTTCCCTGGTTGGAGATGAACAAGGAAGAGGCAAAGAGCAGAGCTGCTGCTTCCCTGGGTCTTCTCCAAGAGTCCAGCTGGGCAGAATCACCAGTATTAAAGGCTGCAGATCTGATTGAAGGAATTGCAGGGCTCCATTTTAGTCCTTGCGGCTGTTTGACATATTTATAATTAAACTAGTTGTACCCGGCTGTGGCTGTCTGGTAAAAGCGTGTGTTGCTTTTACATCCAACAGATGGCGCTGTTTTTCAAAAATGTAAGCCACCCAGAGTTGCTTTATAAGTGAGATGGGTGGCATAAAAGGTTATTAAAATAAAATAAGCTGTCCACTTCTGGGGTTGTTTTTTGACATGCTAAGGTGGAGTTTTTTCCCCCTCTGGATCTTTAACCAAAATACCACATTACTTTTTCTTGTTCCTCTAATGGCCTCACTTGTAAAATTCTTGATTGAAATCCAATTGTTATAACTGAACAGTTTGTGGCTAACCTCTTTGGCTTCTTCTGGTAAGTGTCGAAATAGGTTCCAGCTAACTGCTGGTTCTAACAATGACTCTATCCAGCAAAGCTTAGGCCAAGTGATTAGGATGGATCAGGTCTGGATGAAGCTAATTCATGGCTCATTTGCCAAATCCTTTNAAAATTCTTGATTGAAATCCAATTGTTATAACTGAACAGTTTGTGGCTAACCTCTTTGGCTTCTTCTGGTAAGTGTCGAAATAGGTTCCAGCTAACTGCTGGTTCTAACAATGACTCTATCCAGCAAAGCTTAGGCCAAGTGATTAGGATGGATCAGGTCTGGATGAAGCTAATTCATGGCTCATTTGCCAAATCCTTTAATAATTACCTAATAAATTAATAGGTCAGATCCTCAGTGGATTGGCTGCAGGTTCCCAAAGTCTTCAAGGGCAAAGGCTGTGTAAAGAGACTCTACCCCAGAGCTAGCTTTGAGGGACCCCCACCCGCCTCCAGATGGGGGTCCTACCCAGCCTCTCCTGGAAACCTGCAGACTGGCACCCAGGGAGCTTCTGAAAGACCAGGGAGGCGGAGGCTGCTCAGGCAAACATTTTATTGGAGAAGAGCATCTGATGGGTGAGGTTGGAAGGGTCACCCCCCCATTTCCCCCCCAAGGCAGAAACCAGGGAAGCCTTGCTCTCTTCACCCTCTCACTTGCTGCGGTAGAATTTGCTGGAGCCAACCCTACAATGAAGCAGGAGGGACAGAAATGTCAAAATTCACAGTGGCGTGATTGGTGTCCCTTCCCCAGGCTGAACATCATCACCCAGCATCATTTCACGTGACAAAGAAAAGAGAGGACAAAGGAAATGGATGCTCTGGTTCTGGGGGGATGGCGAGGGCCGGGTAGGTCCCCAGCCATGCATTGGAGGCCACCTCTGATGAGGGAAAGGACACTGACCCAGAGCAGGCTGGGCGAATTCTCCTCGGTCTTTGGGGGCCTCCCTTGAAGCAGCTCCGTCCAGGTGTCCGAGAAGGTGGCCTCTTTGGTGGGGAGCAGCAGAACTGCAGGCCTTGCGCTCAGGGAAGGCACCCGGGTGGCCTCTTAACCCCATACAAATATGGGGGCTGTGCTGGGCTACTCCTCTCCGATTTGAGTAGAGCAAATCATGCCAGTTCTGAATGTTGCCAGCGGTGGTGCCACCCAAACCACACTTGTCAGTGAGAAGGACCTGGGGAAGCTCCCCAAAAGCTTAGCTGTGTTTCTTTGTGGAAGAAGTGGCACAACCGGAGTCTCCACCATCTCCCTGCTCAACCCTGGGTGCGGAAACATCCCGAGAGAGGCAAACCCGTTTGGGGCGTCCTTTCAAGAGCCACTTTGGGAGGGGGGGGGAAGAAAGAGAAAAAAAGATGTGCCCAGGGCCCTTCCAGTTAGGGGGCAGAGCAGTTCAGCCCCTGTGTTTCTTTACCTGGGCACCCCCCAATCGTCTGCCGCGGATTCCACCTCCCTGTGCAGTAGCCACGTTGTCTTCAGCTGCTCCATTTCCTTCTTGTCTATCCGATAGTGGCAGGTCAAAGTTGTACCAATTAGGGGTGGGATATATTTCCCATAAAGACCCCAACTCACCGATGCTACTTTAGGTTGGGAACGTTTGGTGGGCTCCAAAATTTTGCCAACCCCAGCTAATGGGGGCAAGGGGGGGGACATTCAGTGAAAGAAGCAGATCTAAGGAAGGGGAGATCCACTAGATTCCCCCCTCCCGTTCTATTTGCTTCCACACCAAATAGTGAGTGGCTCTACCAGAGAGGTTCCAGATGATGGTGAGGCCAAAGACCGGCTAGGGACCCTGGTGCTGGATGACCTGCAGCAGGGATGGCCGGATGGGATTGTCGGAGGCCGAGACTGCCGTTTTGTAGATGCCGCTGGACACCCCCGCGTTACTGACGCTGTTGGTCTCCGTGGTGGAGTTGAGATCATTCTTCCAGGTGCTGATCAGGGAGGACTAAAGGAGAGCGGGAAAGGGGAGGAAAACGAGTCATGGCGCTAGCCAAGCCCAGCTGTCCAACAGGTAGAGACTCTGGCTCCATTTTCTCCGGAGGATCTGAAAACACCCGCTGCTCCCACGTGCCCGACCCCCAAGGCTGCCCACGCCGCGTGGGGCTGGCAAAGGCGGCCCATCCCAAAATCCGTCGGTCGAGGCGCCTGCCAGACCACGTCCGGGACGACACCCCGTGGGCAGATCGCTCTGTCCTCTGCGCAGCGAGCGAGAGCACCAGCCCCGGCGGCAGGCTGCCGAAGTCGCGGCCGAGCAGGGAGGAGGAAACGTTGGGCGTCCGTCCGTCGGGGACCCAGGGCCTCTGGCGCTCAGCGCCAGGGCACCCGGTGCGATAGACCCCCGAGGAAGCGGCACCCTCTGCGCAACCCGCCGGCTCCCACCAGCTGCTCCTGCGCCCACCCGAGCAGAGGCTGGTGGCGGGGGGTTTTCCCGGGGGAGGCTGGGACCCTCCGTCCGCCACCCAGCATCTGACCTTGGCGGCTGGCTCCGAGTTTTGGGGTTCGGCAAACTTTCCGGGGCAGCCGAGTAGGAAAGCGAGGAGCCCCAGAGCTGCAAGGCCAATCGCCATGGTGGTCTCCAGGAATCTAAACGTGCCAATCCCAGGCGGGACGCCCCTTAGAAAGCCCCGCTCGCACCGGCTCCCCCCACCGCCCTCGACGGGGAGCGGCAGGATCCTCGCCCGAGGGGCGGACGCCTCTACGAAATCGCTGGTCTTCTGCGAGCGCTGAGCAGCACTTCGGCAGCAAGGAGGGGTGGGGGGCACTTTTCGGGAAGCCCACCGCCGCTGACCCAACACGGGCACTCTTACTCGGCTGGCTCTCCACCAGCGCTCCTCTCCCGCCATTGGTCCTCCAGCGTTCCAACCCGGCCCCTTCCTCCCGGGCGTTTCACGGAGGGACACTTTTCTAGGGCTATTTGGCT